TCCGCTCTTGGAGCCCCACCGTTAACCCCTATCCCCAGTCATCTCCCCCTCCCCCAGAGGCTTGCTGAGAAGCAGGTGACTGATGTAGACTGTCGATATGGCCTACAGATAACATGAATAAAGGGCTCAACTCCCCTCCTCCCTACCCACCACACCCACCCACCCACTCTTCCTTCCTTCCCTCCCTCTCTCCCTCTACCCCTCTCCCAGCCTCTATGCAAATCTAAACTCACACACCCTCCTCCTCCTCCTCCTGCTCATTCATTGGGAGGGAAGCTTTGCGTGTTTCAACCAGCAGCAGAAGCAGCAACAGCAGCAGCAGCGTGGGCTTTGTTGTGGACTGCTGCCGGGAGAAAAGAGAAGGAAGAGACAGCAGAGAGAAAGCAGCTGAGAGAGACAGAAAATATAGACGATCAAGTATAGATGAGGTGACTATTTTAAAGAAAGTCAAGAAGAGGAAAAAAAGACGTGGACAGAGGGCGAAACAGATCAACACCGGCTAAAAGAGAAAGACAGAACCAGGAAGCAACTGTACTGAGTGACTAGTATTGTTACGGACATTACTACCACCACTGCTGCTTTCATTATAGTACTAGTAGTAGTACTGCTACTACTGCAAAACCCCCAACGGCAGCAGTGAAGTTCTGCTTTTTTGGTGGGGATTTCCTGGTGAGTCTGATATGTTTACAAAGTTGTTCTTTTAGATTAATGCAATAAGAAAAAAAAACTTCTTGTTAGGCTCACAGTTTAAATTACCTGCATTGTCTTTTAAAAAATATTTTATAATTATATTTTAGATGTGGTAAACTTTCATGAGACTATATTTATATATATATATATATACCAAAAATGTGCCTAATTGACATTAATGACTGCTGCACCCATTCAAATGAATTCAGTCAATTCAGGAAGCGGTAATAGTGCCTTAAGTGTTGCTTGTTTAGATTTGATAAATCTGTCCCTGAAGTTTTTTTTTTTTTTTTTTTTTTTTTTACTAAAAAGCACACTCTTTTATTGTCTTGGTTAAATAAAAAGGGAAGTGAAGGACAAACCTACTGTTCAGATAAAAGTTGTGTTAAATCTCACATGCACAGCAGCCTCCTTGTAAATGATTAAAGCCGCTGTTTCACACAGTTTTCTTTGTCTTTTGGGATGACTTGCATTCACTCAGATTCCGAGTAAGAGACTAGTGGCCATTGCTAGTCAGACAGACTGAGAGTCTGGAGATTTAACAGTATTGTTGGCTGTAATTAAGTTTGAAGGTGCATGTGTTTTTGATCATGTGTTTCTCCTTTTTCGTGTTTGTAAAGCTTTGGGAATTAGTTTGCAAAAGGCCCAGGAAGGGATATCAAATATTTTCAGTACACTGATTTTATGCACCTGTCAAAGGTGAACGTCCACACACGTCACGGTAGAGCAACTGTGATATATTATTATTTTTCGGTGTGTGTTGTTGAAGCTTGAGAATTTGTGCAGGAGAACGTTGTTGTTGTGGTTACACTTTGTTGCCTGAAGCTATTTAAGTTACTTCCCCTGCTCTGCTGTCTATGCACAGTAACACACACCTGAATCTGCAGTTCATGAGTTTCATACTGCCACAAATTCACTCAAAAGAACATCCTGTGTGTGTTTATGTGTGTGTGACTGAATAGATTGTTTCCACTGAGAGTGCTCGGCATGTAGGGATGTTGTGTGTGTGTGTGTGTTCGTGTGCGTGTGCGTGTGCGTGTGTGTGTGTGTGTGTGGGGGGGGTGTAATTAGATGAGAGGCAACTCTGGGGTGCCCCTCCCCCCACGCCCCCCAGACAGCAGACACACTTCTCAACGACCCTGTTCTCATGCGCTCAGAAGACAAACACACACACTCACATCCACGCACATGCACGTTTCCTCGGGCTGTGGCTTTCACAGGTCAATGGGTCGAGTTGGAATTATATAGTCATGATCAGTACCATATGTCTTTGTTTTGTTGCACTGTATGCATGCTAAAGATGACGTTTTTTTTAGGACTAATTATTGTGGCTAGATTTTTACATATGTGTTTACTTTAATGGTTTTGCACGTTTTAGTCAATTTTCAACAAATCACATTTTACATAAAATCTAACCACCATGCAAACCATTTTGCTGTGTTTTGATAATTAATTGTAAACTAATTTTTGAGAAAAATACCAGATGTTTCCTGGTTCTAGCTTTTCAAATGTGAAGATTTGCTGCTTTTCTCTATTTGATGTGATTTTTAAGTGATTAATTTTGTTTTGTTTTTTTTTGGAGTGCTGGTTGGAAAAAACAAGATATTTGGAAAAGTAACTTTGGGCTCTAAGAAACTGATGTTTTTTTCTAACCTTTTATTGGCCCAGCAGTTAATTGAGAAAGTAAATGGTGGATTCATTGATAATGAGAGTTATTTGCAGCACTAATATCATGCATTTAAAAAGTGGTCAACAAAAATGTAAAATAAACATGATTTGCAGTGAAGGAGCTAAAATTGCAGCAGAATGTTGCTACTGGTTTGGTCATTAACCCTTTTACAAGCAGCCTCCCATCTGCAGCTCAATCATTAAGTCTGTGCAGCCAAACATTGTTCAGACCCGCTGGGTTTTAATTTAAACTCATGTGGAGAAAGTTTCCATGGATACTAAATTTTTGGGGAAATAGTGTATAAAATGATGCACAAGACATTTTGAATATTTCCATTTGATGAAGTGGGTCAGCCACAAGAAACACAGCATTCTGGGATTATATATTTCACTCAGTGTAAACATCATACAGCTTCAATGAAGAGCTTGAACAAGCTTATACCGAATATATGTGATACTTTCAGACAGTGTGGAATGAAATGACTTTATAAGCAGATTCTCTTTGAAAGTTGAAGTTGAAATGCAGAGGTGATTAGTTTAAAAAAAAAGAAAAATTTGATGATAAACTAGTACATCGTAGAATATGACATTAATCAGTAGTGTAAAAATGGTACATGTTGCTTTGGTGGCTGTCGCATAATGTGAATGGATTATATTTTCTGTTTTACATCAGGCAAAGATCAAAGAAGGCCCCTGACTCAGATTTCCTACGGTGAATTAAAACCCACTGATACTGATTGGTACCCTGCAAAGCAAATTTTGATCTGCTTTGTAGGGCTTATGGCTGCTAGCTCAGTGTGAATGAGCGGGCCACTGTGCGTGCAGGTTGGTGTCGCTGTTCCTCTGTGAGCGCGCTTTGTGCGACCGCTCCTGGTGAGCAAATGAACTCTCACCTTCTGAAACAAAACACTGCTCTATTCTACGCCCACTTTCACTCATTTCCCAATTAAGCAGCTTTCAGGGTGTCCCGGCTGGCCCTCAGAGAATACTGTAAACCTTCCATAGCCGCTCTATATCGCCTCAGTGAAGGAGGCTCTAATGAAAGCCTCAGCCCCTTGAGAGTTTCCATATGCACTCTCAGGCCCCTGCTCTCACCAGACAATATGTTTGTATTGAAAGAGGAGATGCTTATCTTTCTCTTTCCGCCCTTTCTTTCTTACTCTCTCATTTTTGCTCTCTGTCTTCCACACATACCCTGTGATGATTATGTGATCATATCACACACAGTCACGCGCAGGATAATGAAGACAGAAGCGGGGAGGCAGTGCCACGGCTTTGTGTTTTTTTGTTTTTCTTCCTAAAAGTGGTGATTGCTTTTTTTTCACACTTAATTCTCACTTTCTTTATATTTTAACACTTAAGCTGATTGACGTTTAATAGTATTAATTCCCTGAGTGGAGTCTTTAAGTTGGAGGTTATCTGTAATCAACAGAGTACCTTCAAGTAGCCTGCTAGATTGGTTTTGGGGCATTTTTTCTTTTATTTGGATAGTGAAGCAGAAGCAGGGAAACAAGGGGAACAAAAGGAGGGATAGTATGCAGCAAAGGTCTCCAGCTAGACTTGAACGTGGGACATTTTGATCAATGTTTAAGAACGCACAAGCCACCAGGATGTTCCAGGTTTTTAACCAGCTGATATTATCAGCAGGTTGTAGCTCAGCATAGATCCAGAGCCCATTCAGTTTGATTGGCTAGATTTGAGCTATTTTATTATATCAGTATGATAAAAATATAATGTCAGTTTCCACTGTCAATCACCATAAACAGGCTGTATACACCAAACATTACTTCATCTAACGTTTATTAAAGCTCAGTATAGTTTTTACATTTATACTTGATGTTATTGTTTCCCCATCCAGTCATAACACACATAGTTCACAGCTCTTTAATAACTAAATTCAAAGGATATTATGTTATGGTAAATGTTTATGTTTCAAAAGGGAGTATTTGCTGAAATACTGTTGACAGATTTTTTTTTAATATCCCGTTGGCATTGGCCCCGAGAATCCAATATCTGGTGCTGTTAATGGAGAAGAGTTTAAATCCGATCACCATAATCACTATATTTGTTATATTGCTGGAAGCAGGAGGTTTGATGAATCGTCTAACAGGCAGGTCTCTGGGGGCTCGTGACTTTTGACTCTGATTTCGGTGAAGGGAGGGGCTCAATACAAAGGACCTGCCAATCTCAAAATCAAAAACAAATCTCCTCTGCAGGACCACTCTGTTAGTCATTTTTCCTCTGTGTTTTGTTTTCTCTCCTAAATGGATTCACCATTTTTGGCAAAACTGGACAAAACAAAGTACTGTCCTTTAGGTGGTTTTGAAGTGTGTGGTACAAACTATGCCTGTTGATTCTAATGTCTTTGTTTGGAGCCTCTGTGTATGAATGGAGGCCAAATATAATTAAGATCTTGTTTGTGTGCATGTTTGTTTACAGGATGACATTTTGTGCTGCAGTTTTACAATTTATTTACATTCAAATATATATCACACTTTCAATGGCCAAATTACTGCCATATTATCATTCTATCTTATCATCTTTAGTGCAGGGACATCTTGCAAGAGGAATAACAATATATTATTCATCTCTCCCTTTCTGTCTTTCTCCCTTTCTGTCTAACCCACACCCTATTTTTCCAGTTACCCTCCCTGGTGCGCTCCTTGCCCCCGTTTCCTCCACCTCAGCCTCCCTCACTACACGTCGCTCCTCATCCAACTCCTCCTCCTCCATGCAGACCTCGTACCGACTGCCCAACCCCTTGCCACCCCTCCCCGTCCGCAAGGGTGTCCGAGGTCGTCGTCCCAAATCCCAGACTATTGCTTTGTTGAAGGCAGCGGCTGAGGCGGCAGCGGCGGCAGCGGCGGCAGCAGCAGTAAATGGAGCGTCACAGAGCCCTGCCAGAACTAGCTCTGAGGCTCAACTGGCCCCCAGACCACACAGGAAGAGAGGACCCAAGCCGAGGAATAAGGTGAGATGTCACAAGAGTTGTAATCTGTTATGCTGTGGGCCAGTGACCCTGCCATTTTATGTTTTATGTATAATGGCAGAAATGGTTTTGATAAAGAGGAGCCAAGGTCAGAGGTGGACTATTTGAGGGAAGAAGGGAGGAGTTTTTGTGCATGTTTATGCGTGGTAAAAATGCACTGCTGTGTGTGCTGCTGTGCAGTTGATGTGTAGTCGTGAAAGATTTACGACACACCTCTTAATAAATCATTAACTAACAGCCTCTCTAGGTTACGGAGAGTTAAAAAGATAGGGTTTGTTTGTTTTTTGCCTCAGAAGAAGCCTCGGGTGGTGCAGTCCCTGGGGTCATCATCAGTTACAGCTCCGCCTCCAGAGACCAGACTGAGCTCCAGCCATGTCTCAGTGGACAACAACCATAGCAACAGCTCAAATGTAGTTTGCACAGGTAAACTGGATGCTTGGATGTACACTTATATATACAGTATGTGCTGTAGCAACCCAACTTATTTTATTGTTTTGAAAAAAAGTCTAGTTGTCTTTGTTCTTTGCTGATGTTTCCTTCTCTTTGTGACATCCCAGTTTGTGTCTATGTGAACAAGCACGGTGACTATGGCCCGAATCTAGACCGAAAACTAGTGCAGCAGCTCCCGGATCACTTCGGCCCAGCTCCAGTCAACGCTGTGCTTCAGCAAGCTGTTCAGGCCTGCGTGGACTGTACGTACCAGCCGTCTGTGCTGCTGTCGTTCCTGCAGAGCCAGTCCCACACAGGTGGAGAGGTCATCAGAGGTAAATGCAATAAACAGAGCCATGCTAGCTGTTACCCCCCCGTTTCCAGTCTTACTGCTAAACTAAGCGAACCTACGGCTGGTAGAAGCTTCATATTTGCCATACCGACATCTAACTCTTGGCAAGTAAGCGAATAAGTGTAGTTCCCAAAATGTTGAACTATTCCTTTAAAAGTCACTTTTAATGAGCACTGGTGGATAAATTCTAATGTATTCGTAACTCCATATAACCTGGATAGGCAATCAGCCAGGTGAAATTGGTTTAAGCTCATACTCATGGGTCATGAAATGTGTGTGTGTGTGTGTGTGTGTGTGTGTGTGTGTGTGTGTGTGTGTGTGTGTGTGTGTGTGTGTGTGTGTGTGTGTATGAAGAGAAAGAGAGGAGGAATAAAAGAGTGCCTGTGGCGGCAGCTGATGTGAGCACTGTTTCTGTAATCAGAAGTGACATGTGCGTCTAACCTGGTTTGGGATTCTGGGATTGGGTCTCCCTTGGGGGGCCAGATTGGGAAGGCTGTGGGTGAGGTTGGGTAGGGAGGGGGGTTTTAATTTGTGGATTTGTGCAGGCTTGGCTTGGGTAGGAGGGTGTAGTGCAGTGTGGGATTGGGTGAAAAATCTGTGCGTGTGTGTGTGTGTGTGCGCGCTTATAAAGGGAGGGTGCTAACCCTGAACCATCTGCTGTTTTTCTTTAGCTGTGAATTCATACAGTGTGTGTGTGTGTGTGTGTGTGTGTGTGTGTGTGCAGGTGTGTGAACATGCAGCACACAGACTAATAGCAGTTTATGTTCTGCCCCCTAGTGCGGTCAGAGCATGGTATCCGCTATGTGAAGCTGCCCTCCGCCTCCAGTGCGTCCTCTGTGCTGCGGTTCTTGGAGAACATGTGCCAACATCTGGAGAGTGACAGTCTATTCAGCTCACAGCCCTTCAGCCCCTACAACATCAACACACGCTTCTACAACAAGACCAAGTCAGGTCAGGGTGGCAAATGTGTGGATGGAGGAAGCTTACTGTAAACTCCTTTGTCCTGTTTGTGTTGTCGTCTATGTCCAAATTGCCCCTGAATGGGGCGCTGAATGTACGTTACGCATTACAAATAGTTCTGCCTTTTGTTTCATACTAACAGAAAAAAAGCTTACGACCTACTTGCTATGAGGAATAGCATCATTAAACAAATAATGTTACCTCTTCTCCAAAGTCAAAAGATGGAAGTTGAGTGAAAGACAATCTCAGCTTTTAATTTCTTAGATTTAGCTTTAACTAATTACAGAATGGGAGACATGACGACTGACTGTACTGTACATCCATTAGATAAAAAAGAAAAACAGACTGACCCTCGCATATGTGCTAAACTGACAGTAGTTGTGTATGGTCCAGTATAGTGCAGCAGTTTTTCTGTTTTCTGTTTGTGTTCACAATATGTTAATTACGCTCTCGCCCTTTCTTGAAACAGAACCGCCGTCCCACACTGAGAATGGCCTGTCCACTGACGATTCCACAAAGGATCCCGCTCCCAGCACCCGCTCCATTCACACCGCATCAGACTACAGGGCAACAAAGAAGGAGCGGCCATATTATCCCGGACACACACACACACCGCCACCCCTACGACGCGTCAGCTCCAACCCGGCTGAACTTGGTCCAATGTGTACACACAGACGAGTGGAGGGTAGGATTAAATACACACACACATACACACTCAGTCACCAGGGTAGAAGGGGGCATGTCACATGGGCGTGTGTTTAGAGCTACTGTACGGGGCCAAATGTGAGTGTGACTATGAATGAAACATAGAAAGAAGTCTCCATAATGTTTTGGTTAGCCGGCAAGGAGAAAATACGAACCAGAAATTCTGCCTTGAACAACTGATAAAATGCAGAGTTCCTGTGGGGGTCACCATGGCGGCAGTGAGTTTCTAGGTAAACTGCAGAATGCAACAGTGCCTCGTGGTAAATGAGGCTCTTCTTCCTGTGGGTGTCTTTGGTCTGACTGTCTGCTTACGTGATTGGCCGTTGCAGCGCTTTGCCTGATGACAACGTATTGTGTTGTAGCTGAACCAGATTCAACTTTTTTTTTCTCCACACGACACAGTTTCATTTTGGAGGACGGCCTAAATTTCACAAATTTCAAACATTTGTGACCCATGGCCTTGTTAACACCCGACTGTAAGACTGATAGATAAAATCATGAGCAGATGGTAAAGTATTTAATAAAGGTATTAGGTATGAGTTTGATTGGACTTTCCTTTCTCTTGCCCTCCCACCCTGAAACAGCTAGCTCAACAACAGGCCCAGATCACGTGAAACAGGACAAGGAAGGTTCAGGGAATGATGCTTCTTCCTGGTCAGTTGACGATGTCATACGGTTTGTCCAAGAGGCTGATCCCCAAACTCTCGGCCCACACGTCGAACTGTTCAGGAAACATGTGAGTATTTCATTGATATGAGTTCTCTTCTTCATTTTGTTTAATGGTCAGCTACACTGGTTTTCACCCATTGTGTTGTATCAAGCAGTAGCTTGGTTCACTAACCTCTTCCTGAGCTTTTTACCCTTTATACTCAAGGAAAATCAGACTCTAATTCCCACATTTCAACACCTTAATCAAGTCATGTCATTTTGATGGAAATACAGTGCGAGGAAGTGCTCATGATGATTTCCCCTTGCTGACAGCGCGCTCATTTCGTTACAGGAGATCGATGGCAAGGCTCTGATGCTGCTGCGCAGCGACGTCATCATGAAGTACATGGGACTGAAGCTTGGCCCGGCACTCAAACTCTGTCATCACATCGAGAAGCTGAAACAGACCAAACAATAGAGGATAAAGACGCTCTTTTCTCACTGGCAACCAAACACATACAAACTCGTATTATTCTACAGGGATGTAGGTGCAGTGTAAATCCACCTTAGCCGGTGTCGTAGCCACCACAGAGGACAACGAGCTTGTGTCCTCTGTACTTTGAGTGAATTTGGGGATTTTATCTACCTGCAGGGAGTTGCAAACGTAACTTAAACACATGGTTGGTATTTTATGAGCTCATTTGAATACTTTAAGGCCGACAAATAGATACATCGATAAAGATTTCAGCATTTTCCTCAGAGTTTGACAGTGTGGAGAAAGCAGAAACCTTTGAAACAGCATTTAGACCTCAGATCTTGGGAAAGAAATTCTACATTAAGTATAAACAGTGAATTTAAAAAATAAGAGATGAGAAAAGTATTTGCTACAGCCCTGAGCTGGACACTTTTATTTTTAATTAACAGACCACAGTTTCCTTTTACATAAAAACAGAAACACAGTACATGAATTCATAATTTCCATATGTCTAAGTAGCATCAGATATCTGAGCAGATGATCTTTGTTCATGTTAGTATTTTTTTTTTTGCCTTATTATGAACTGGAGGCCATAATTTATCATTTAAGTTACCTCTACATTGCCAGTTTTAAAACACACAAATACACTGTAGGTTTTGTCTCCTCAGATGTTTAGCTGTTAAAGTATTTTTTCCCTGGTCAGAATTTCAGGATGCTCTGCACTCATGTTTGGGAAAGTTAGTTCAGGTACTGGCAGTGAACGTCTCACTGCGTCGTTTCTAACAATGCAATAAAAGTTTCTGAATGACTGCGTCTGTTACAGACTGTCAAATACAAGCCAGTGAATGTATGCAGTCGTGAGCATTATTACTGACAGGTACTGAACAACAGGAATGCTCAGTTATGTGAATGAGGAGTGTTGAAGGGTGTCATTTGAAAATGTTGGAGAAGACGTCTTGTTCCCTGGAGTCAGTCATCGCATAAATGATTCATGTCGTCAATCAATTCACTTGTTATTGACAAAGATCATAAATTAACTTTGGCAGAGTGGGCACCACTTTTATTTAAATGGTGGATATCTTACTTTGGAAGAAAGCAGAATCACAACTTTCATCAGTTGTGATTCTGCAGCGCAGGCCGCAGATGTAGAGAATCAGTTACTGAAGAGTTTTCTCTCTTTTATTTGTGTCTGTTTCGTGTGATGGAAGACATTCGAGCTGGACGGTTTCAGCTCGAGCAATGATGTGGCTACATGATTGTATTATGCTCTGACAGTCTCGCGCACACACACACGAGACATACACATACAATGACTGGAATACTGTAAGTGTTTTGACATTAAAATAAAAGTAAGGTCATTAACTGTCAAGTTTGAGTGCTGTACAGAGAGTTAAAGTGCTCCTGAAAGAGAAAATGGTGGAGAAACTGTTTTGTATAAAGTCAAGCCAAAAGGTTGTTTTTTGATATCATTTTGTACTGTTTCAAAGTGTATCAACCTGTATCAAGCGTAAGTGTAATCAAATTTTTTTCTGCCTGAAATAGTTTTTGTGTGCACCATCAAATAACTACTTACAGGACGATGTTGTGTCCGAGTAATCATTCACGGCTCAAAGTGTTAATCTGTTCTCGATGGCAGAATTACTAATTTTCTGAACATTTCAGAACCATTTTCAAACCAAATCATGTCTGTTGTAGCTGCATTTCACACTGTTGCTCTCCTGTAGTGGTAACAAGTTGATACTTGAAACCATCTTGCTTTAATGTGAAACTCAGGTTTTAGTGGGGGTTTTTTCTTAGATTATGTTTTACATCATTAGCATTTTGTGTGCATTACTACAACATAGAGGGACTGCACAATAATCAATTATGTATATTTTTATGCCTTGTCATCTATCGATCCACAGCATTTCATGTGTATATATATATACAACTTTTTACTGTAAGTTCAACAAAAAATGTTTGTTAAAAATGTTTGATATGCATTCACACAATTAAACATTTGTTTACATCATTTTAGTGTTTGAGACCTCAGCACAAGGCCTACATGGTAGATACTACAAGCTTTTTAAGTGGCTCCCCACCTTTTTGATGTTACCCCTTAAAACAAAGGAACATACTTGTAACCGATCATAGTGGTTGGTGCATATGTTTATGACCAAATTGACAAAGTAGTTTATTTATTCTTGTTTTATTCTGAGAGACCAGAAGAGGGAAACTTCCAGTAATTCATGAGAAAAAAAAAGATAAGTTTAAAAGGAAGTCAGAAAAAACAAGAGAACTGCATGTGGGTAGCATAAAAGGATTTTTCTGCTCCCATGTCTTGTTAATCATCTCTTGACCCCTCAGCATTTTCTTGTGACCCCTTATGGGATCCCGGCCCCCAGGTTGTGAACCACTGGCCAAGTCATTTGAATGGATTCCTACAGTGAAAACATAATTGGGGTACAAAGATAAGATGGTATAAGGGCTTAAAGCAGTTAATACATGAATGCAAAAAAAAAAAAAAAGCACCAGCAGCATTTAATGTATGTTTAGTTTGTGTGTGTGTGTGTGTGTGTGTGTGCGCGTGTATCACTCTGTGGGGGGGTAATGGGGGTAGGGGGTCAGAGGATCATAGACGTCTTATTTAAGGAAAGTGACAGTCCAAAAGGAATCATTGTTCAAAAGATCAGCCAGTTCAAATAGCTCACCAGCAGTACTCAGGATAAACGGGCTCATTATGGCTCCGCTGGCAGATTCTTCAGGAATATGTTGAGAAGCAGCTCTATTACCCCACCAGATGTTCACAAGTATTTATATGAAAAACAATATTATGGAATAAATGTGTAGCTTTAAGGACACAGCCAGCTTCCCACTGTGGGGCTCTGGGCCATCCCTAATTTATTTAAAACAAACCAGTTAAAATGAAATTACTGCCCTAAGAGAGCATTTTAGTAGACCCTGAAAAATAAATATCAGCTGTGTAATAAAAGTCAGAATAAAAAACACTTCTCAATAAAAGAGCATTCACTAAAGCTAAATCAGCATCATAATTAGAGAGATCATAAGTAGGCTATGAAAGATCTTTTACTTAAAATAGAAATACCCCATATATACAACATATACAACAACAACAATGTAACAAAAATCTACTTAAGTAAAATTTTATGAAAATATTACTTAAATGAAAGTATACAAGTATAAGCATCAAAATATACTCAAAGTAAAAAAGAGAAAGTTGTCAGTGTGCAGAATGACCCATTTCAGAATAATGTATATTATATTTTTGGATTATACTGTAATTATTGATGCATCGATCAAACATCATTTTAATGTTGCAGCTGATAAAGGTGGGGGTAATTTTGAATTGGTAGCCTTTTGATTTCTCCCCCTGAAGATCAATAAAGTCTTATCTTAACCAGCAACAATAGGGTACCTCATAATTTATTTGATAATTCTATTAAATTTGTTCAGTATCCACAGTTATCAAATGAATGTAGAGAAGTAACCTATGGGCCATAAAGCTGCAGAAAAAAGAAAGAAAAAAAAAACTTAAGTAAAGTAGCTACAAGTTCCCCTGAAATTGAACTTAAGAACATTACTTGAATAAATGTATTTAGTTACTTTCCACAACGGCTGGAATTGTATAATTTTAATCATATACATATATACATTTAATCATTAACTCATAAATTCTTTATGTTGTGACGTTTATGTCAATCTAGGAACTAATGTCATTGTTTAATGTAACAATCGAGTTAGTTATGAGGGGACACCTCAAGTCTTAAGCGCGAAGTTAGGTCCGGTCGGTGTGTATGTGGGCCACTTTGAAAAATATGGTCGGGTAAAATTGCTTTGGGTGGGTTGTTTGAGCTGCTACATGAGACAGAGATTCTGTGTGAGGTGAAAGGGACAGGTGCGTGCAGGTGTTGTAAAAACAACCGGACGTATTGTTGTTGTTGTTGTTCGGTCGTTGATCCACACCACCAGTAGATGCAGCAGCAGCAGCGACGGTGACATGGAGGCAATTAAGGTAGGTGCTCGATCATCGCAACACGTGACAAAAATCAATCATAACTCAGACAAATATGAACACACTGGACTGATACACATATTTTTAGATTCATGTATGACTTACACTTCCCGAAAATGTCACTGTCATTCGATGGCCGTAACAAATAAACGTTAATAAAACCGCTTAGCAATTATCCAAAAAGCCACTCATTGTAACCACAGAACTTGGCAGGGACTCATCACGTTTTTAAGTTTTCTTCAGTATCAGAATAATTCATTGTTAGTCGTCTGTACATCCAATGATACATAGCAAGCAGGGGCTGCTAATACTTAATTCGGCATACTTGATTTTACAAAATGTAAATAAACATAGGTTATAATAGGCGCTCAAATCCACAGCATAACTCACTGAATCCATTATACTTGCTGTGTCTGGTAAAAGTTCACATCTGTTAACATGACATAACGTTATGTAAACTCTAAAAGTTTAAGGTTTTTTTTGTTTACATATCAGTAAGTTATTTCATCCCTACTCATATATTCATAAATTGTAAATATATTAGATTGCTGTTAATTTTCCATGTTAATTATATTTAAAGATTTCACACAAGTAAAATGAACTTTTTAAGAAATTCTGATTTTATATATTCTAGCAGAATAACATACCAAAGAATAAATAGTAAGTTATTTAAAAAAAAAACAAAAAAAACAATATGCCAGATGTATGGTCAATCTATAACTCTGATTGTCTATTTCCTCTCTGCGCAGCCATGTGATCAATTATGTGATCACCTGATAGTTCGTCTTAAAAGTTACTTTTACACTTTGCTGTAAGTATGAGCTCAGCTAACTCAGACAAGAACCTTTTTACTGTAAGGTTGGTACTTTAAGCTTTTTTAAATGTAATTCGTAGACATATGATAAATATTGGCCCAAGCTGCCATAACATCAACTAGTATGAAACTTCAGTGACTGAAAGAAGGCTGCAAGCTGTAGTTGAAAGCCATGGAAAAAGCTAGTATGTGGACCTTGAGTTAAGATGTTTGCTTGTCAAACTGCAAGGCAATTGCAAGTCTTGTATGGTCTCTGATTTCCATTAAAAGGAATTTGCATTTGAACCTTGAGCCCTGTCAATAGAGTTTTTTGCACAGTTGAGACCATAGACTGAGACTGTAGTGCCAAGATTTGTGTTTTTTTTCTGCAACTTTACCAGATCCAAAATTGAGAACAAAATCATATTTTAAGTTTTTAGAGAGTAAGTTAAGTCTCAGGTCTTCTCTTATTCTGACTACTCGACTCAAATCTACCGCCTTGTTTAGAAGTCATATTTTTTTAAGAATCTGGCCAGCAGCTTCAAGTTCAGGCGGTTCAATGAGCAATACTGTAGAGACTGAAACTAGCCAACATTAAAACATTGCCACCTAGTGGAGAGATCTTCTCAGTGCACTTGGTTCTGATGGGGAGGAAAGGAAGTGTCACACAAAAGGCCTTCTGTTTCAATGCAATCACATTTATTGGCTTTTTTTCTATGCACAGTTACTAAGCAGCCTGATGAGCTGTTAAAATGAATTAGATATAGAATAATGGAATTTTCACAATGTTGTAACCCCCCCAAAAAATAAATACAAGACTGAAGGTGTTGCACAGCTCCAAAATATACAAAGGCTTGGAAATAATCATGTAAACTTTGAAAAAAAAACTTTTTTGTTTTTAATCTTTTATTGGTTTATTTTACAAAAGAAAGACTTTGCAAGATTTTTTTCTTTAAAAACTTATTTACAGGTTTATACAAAAATACAAAAGTGATTCAAATCTGTTAAGTCCTAGCTAGTTTTAAACATGGAGCTTCTTTTAAGTAGTTACACTTTGTCTTCAACATCTGTATTTTTTCTGTTCTCTGGTACATATTTTAAAGTCAAGTCAAGTTTAGTGTTATTCCATACTGTACACCCTTGAAAAAAATATCAAGTGGTTGTTGTCACACTTCCCTTTAGGGCAAAATTGTGTGTAGACATTGGAAAACGGAAACAAAAGAATCTATATCTATCTCAAGGTGATAGATTCTTGTTTTGTTATATTCCCAAGCTGTTGAGGACTGAGCTTTAAGAGGGCTAAAGGAGTGTTAAACTAGAGTTTGCATGGCAACCACAGTTTCTCTTTCTAATCACATTGTGTCAATCAATCATCTGTCCACTGCTTTTACAACTAAAGGAAACAGTCTTTAGGTACCTCTATAGCATCGCTGCCAGCACAGGTACAGTACGGAAAAATCACACTAAACTAATTGTTAAATATTTTGTTTTTAAACTTTAAATGGCATTTCACAGAGTCACATTGCATTTTTCCACTTTTCATATAATACTGCATCAACTCTACAGATTTGTTTATTTTAGTTATTCAGTAATAATGTTTTGTGGGATTCAAAAAAAAAATCTGTTACGAGTCAAAAGTAAAGACAATGACTTTCTGACCAGATTAAACTAGTTTTTGGGTCTATGAATGGATATTTTTTCCATTTCTGTGTTTTTTTTGTTTTTTTTTTTGTTTTTTTTTTCGTACATTTTATCCAAAACTGCTTGTCCGGATTTGCACGTTAAACTGAATCAGTAGTTTCTCCTTGAAAATATTTCTGTCATTCCCAAACTTCCACAGCTCCAGCAAGACTAGGACCCAGCACCAAAAGTGTTCAGATTCTCCCTCCTGACAGATTCAATATCATTTTCTTTACAGTCTCTTATACGTATGATTGTCCAGTGAGTAGATATACAGTACAAGATAAACCCCTGTTTGTGATCACGACTATACAGAACAGAATTAGCCAGACAGTTTGTACATCTATACAACACACTATTGAACTTGACATTTGAATGGAAAATACAAAATCTTTTCTCGTGGTATGGAGACATCCCTCAGATAAAAATAATGATATGGTGGTATCCTTTTCTTCT